ATCTCAGCCTCATTCTCTCCCCACTTTCCCAGCTGAAGAGAAAGCAGCTCAGACAGCTGTGGAGCCGGGACTCTCTTGTTGAGATGCATTAATTTGTAAATAACTTCATTTATATGTAAATGCGGAGTCCTGCACCCCACTGCAGGCCCTAATGGGGCCACGCAGCTTCCCCCAGTAGGCGGGTTGGGAGCTCCGGCAACCCTCCCTGATCCCTTTAGATCCCAACGTGTCTGCTCCTTCCATCCTTTGCCCTTGGTGTTCACCCAACAGGACGGCTCAGCTCTCTGGAGTGCTCTCTGCCTGGGCGACCACCACTGTAACCAAAGCTCAAGGAGAACGCTGGGGAGACCTGGCTCCTGCATGGGGAAGTAAAGAGCACTGGCCACGAGTCCCGAGTGCTTAGGTCAGTGTCGCTGTATCACCTTGGGCAAGTCTCATTCCCTCTCAGGGCTTCAGTGTCCTCAACGGTACAAGGGAGGCAGCATGGTGGAGAGGTAGAAGGAGACGGTCTGGGGTCTGGTCGGGTCCCTTGGCCTTGCTGAACTGTGACGCCTCCTAAAATAAAATCAGGGCTAGAGAAAATAATAATAACAACACCTTTCTGCATTCATGGGGTTGTTTGCGACGAAACAAAAAGGTAAAAGGAGGCTTTATGAGATTTGTAAAAAAGTGAGTTTGTTTTATGGTGGGGGACCAAAGGTTGTTCTAGGCAGTGACAGCAAACATGGTGACCACACACAGGTGCTTCACCCGAATTCCCTCATCGGACCCTCAGGAGCCTTTTGCTGTTGTCATCTCCTTTGGAGGTCAGGAAACTCAACCCAAGAGTTCACTAACTAACGCAAGGAGGTGGAAGAGGCAGGATTTGAAATCGGGCCTTTGAACAGAAGTGGAGAAACATCCCATGCTCGTGGATTGGAAGAATCAGCATTGCTAAAATGACCAGACTACCCAAAGTAATCTATAGATTCAGAAAACAATCCCTATCAAGCTACCAATGCCGTTTCTCACCGAATTAGAAAAAAAAATCCTAAAATTCGTATGGAACCAAAAAAGAGCCCAAATAGCCAAAGCAATCCTAAGCAAAAAGAGCAAAACTGGAGGCACCACATGACCCAATTTCAAATTATAATACAAGGCTGTAGTAACCAAAACAGCATGGTACTGGAACAGGAGCAGACACATGGACCCATGGAATAGAATAGAGAACTCAGAAATAAACCCAAATACCTAAAACCGATTGTCCTTTGACAAAACAGACAAAAACATATACTGGGGACAGGACACCACATTCAACAAAACAGGACTGGGAAAATTGGATTGCCACATGCAGAGGAGTGAAACTTGATCCCTACTTCTCATTATACATAAAAATTAACTTAAGGTGGATTAAAGACTTAAATGTCAGACCTGAAACCATAAACATCCCGGAAGAAAACCTAGGAAAAAGTCTTCTGAACACTGGCCTCGCAGAGAATTTATGGCTAAGAGCCCAAAAGCACAAGCAACAAAAACAGAAATAAACACACGAGAGACTTAATTAAACTAAAAAGCTTCTGTACAGCAAAAGAAATAATCAACAAAGCAAACGGGCAACCTACGGAATGGGAGAAGACATTTGCAAACCGTGCATTCGACAAAGATCTCATATTCAGAATCTCCAAAATGTCAAACAAATCAGCAGGAAAAAAAAAAAACCCAAAACAAACCTAACCCCATGAAAAAGCAGGCAAACAACACGAACAGATGTCTCTCAAAAGAAGACAAACAAATGGCCAACAAACACGAAAAAAAAAGCTCAACATCAGGGAGACGCAGATTAAAACCACAATGAGATGCCACCTTATACCAGTCAGAAGAGCCACCATAAAAAGTCAAAAAACAATAGATGCTGGTGTGGATGCGGTGAAAAGGGAACACTTATACCCTGTTTGCAGAAATGTAAATTACTACAACTGCTAAGGAAATCCGTATGGAGATTTCCCAAACAACTGAAAGCAGATCTACCATTTGACTCCGCAATCCCATTACCTGGGATCTACTTGAAGGAACCGAGGTCATTATGCAAAGGAGACACCTGTACCTGCATGTTTATCGCCGCATAATTCACAATCGCAAAGATGTGGAATCAACTTCATCAACACCCATCAATGATCAGTAGATAATGCAAATGTGGTATGTACACGGGGGGGGGGGTGTCAAAAAATGGGTACACATTTTAAGAAAAGTTATCTCTGTATTCCTTTTCGAAGTTGAATTCAATTACGGTCGCGATGTGTAGCAGGATATTCACTCCAAAGACGGCGTGAATCGAATGAGTGTTAACATCACCACGTGACAGGCAGGAAAGTCATGGAAAAGGGCGGGAGCACAGCTGTCGTTCAAGGAGCACAAGACCACTTTGAAGTATATATGTATGTCGTGGAATGCTATTCAGCCATAAAAAAAGAATGAAATAATGTCTTTTGCAGCAACTTGCACAGAATTGGAGAACATCATTCTAAGTGAAGTAAGCCTGGAGCGGAAAACCAAGCACTGCACGTTCTCACGCATACGTGGGAACTAACGGTCTGAAGAGGCATGGAGAATGATATCGTGGACACTGGAGAGTCAGAAGGGGGAGGCCGGAAGGGCCCAGGGAAGAAAGATCACCTATCAGGTACAGTGTGTACTAGCAGGGGGTCACTTACAGCCCAGACTTCCTCACCACTCTACAATGCAGCCATGTAACCAAAAACCATTGGTACCTCTAAAGCGCGTGAAGTGCAACAAACAATTTTCACCCAAATTCCACAACAGTTGTACAAGGCCAGTCATGCTAAGCCTGCGTGTGAGGTGAGGAAGCCCAGGCAGAGAGACAGGTTAAGGTTCTCTCTGTAGGCAGTAGCCGAGCTGGGATTCGAAGCCAGGTCTTCCCGAACCAGAGCTGTCCTCTTGATGCTCCAAGAAGCAGGAGAGCCTGGGGCTCAGGGATGCTCTGGGTGGTCCCAGGTTTCCTTCTTGGCTCAGGAATTCGGGCCAAGGAGTCACGTTTTTGGCAGTGGGTGACCTGCTGGGGAGAGGCTTCTCAGGGACTGTGGCGACCAGGCCAGGGGGAGTTTCTGAGAATCTTGGGGATGATCTGGGCGCTCACTTGGTACAAAACCATCTGTAGCTTCCAGAAGAGCTATTTTCTTCTCCAAAATGAGTTTTGGTCTCCTTTTCATCTTGATTGTCACTGGTTTGTCTTAGATGAGCTTTAATATTTTAAGGCGCCCCAGTTCCATTTTAGAAGTGGGTACTGGGGACATCATATCTAGATGGATGCAGACGTTGGCGCGGCCACGCACTCACCTCTACATACACCTTCGAGCCCACATCCACAGTGGGGCCCCGGCACGGAGCCCAGAGCAGGGGAGGGCCTGGCATGTCCCCGGAAGCACGCCCACTCCCCACCAGGCGGCTTGTGAGGATCAAAACGGAAAGAGGGTATGGAAACGCAGGCGGGGGAGGACCTGGCCGGATTCCCTGGGCAGGGACAGACGCGCCCTTTGCAGCCTTCTTGTCCCATTTACTAACTTCACCCAGGAGGAAACTGAGCCCAAAGAACCAGGGGGTGTGCCGGGACCGTCTACTCATTTTGCAAGTGTCACTGTGCACCCACTGGGCACCAGGCCCCGGCTGGAGGGCCGTGGATAGCGATGAAGGGGGAGCACAGGCCTCGTCCTCCCGCCCTCCCGTGCTGGAGCCTGGCCCCGGCCTCCTCCCGGGCAGAGTCTACAGACAGCGTGGCACCGGCGCTCACGGGGACTTTTGCAGCAACTCAATGGAGTTGGAGAGCGACATCCTAGGTGAAGTCATGCAGGAACGGAAGACCCAACACCGCATGTTCCCACTTGCACGTGGGCGCTAAGCTCACAGTCGGAAAGGCACCCACGGACCACAGTGCCACAGAGCGTGGTGCCACGGCACATGCCCACGGGCCTGTGTCTCCAGCAGCACCTCCCCGGGTGTCCAGCGCTGCCAGGTCCTCCTCCAGTTTGGGAGCAGACAGCGTTTTCCGGTTGGGTGCCAGGCAACGCCTCTGGCTGTGCCGTGTGAAGGAATGTGTGTGCAAAGCGGTGCCCATTCGGTGTCCGGGTGAAGCGACTCTTCACGAGTGCAGGGGACCCCCTCTGAGGAGGTGTTGCAGTCATCCAGCTCAGGGGGAGTGGTTCTGCTGGGGTGAGGGGCCCTACGGAGGGATCTGCTTGAGTGGGGTTCTGAGGGCTGATGAGGAGCTTGCCAGGTGACCAAAGGGAAAAAGGCCCGATCTGATGAAGGGCCAGCGTGTGTTAAGGGCCAAAGGAATAAAGTGGGATTGGAGTCTTTTAGGGAGCCTGAGGGAGGGAGGTGGAGCCACGGGCACCCACACACCTAGGAAAAGGCAGGCCCTGGAATGGGATCTCATTGCTTGATTCTGCCGCCTTCTGGAAAACGGGCAGGGCTAGAAATAGCAAGTGTCCCTGAGCTTGAGAACGCCTCCCTCCCCTCCTTGCCACTTCCGACCTGGGAGTCCAGGTGTGTGGGGCCCTTATGGCCTCGGAGCCCACAGGGAATCGGACGGCAGGATGAGCTGCATGGGCTTCACCTCCCAGCTCTGTCTTTCCTGGCTGTGTGACTCGAGGCACACTGCTCGCCCTCTCTGGGCCCCCGTGTCCTTGCCTGGAAACGGGACTTAGAAAGCCCACCTTGGAGGACTGTGGAAGGACCTGGCTGAGGGGGCCAGATGGTGGGGGGACCCTTCCAGCTTCTGCTCTCCAGGAGACGACCCTCCCTCCAGGGATGGATCCCACCCCTACAAGCAGAGCCCCCAGCTCTGCTGTCCAAGCCCAGGAGCTCCGAGGGGTTGACAAGAAGGGGCCGGAGAGTGCCCCTCCTGGCAGCCCTCCCCTCATGGTGGACTGGCACACAGGCCCTCCACCCCCCAGCCCCTCTCCCTGCCTGGGCCCCCTTCACAGTGGACTGGCCCGCCCCCTCACCTCACGGTGGACTGGTACACCAGATCCTCCCTCTTGCGATAATTCTCCATGTGTGAGTAGTTGGTGGAGAACATGGCGTCGAAGGTGAAGATCTTCTGCTTGATGGTGCCACCGTCCGTCACCTGCCACAGAGCACAGAGGCAGCCACAGGTGAGCGCCCGGCCAGCCCCGGACACCGGGAGCCCCCGCCCACTGCAGCCCAGGGAGGCCCCGCCCGCTGCATGATCATCTCTGTCATCCCCAGAGCCCTCCCTGAGGAGGGGCGGCCATCCCCACTCTGCTGACTGTAAACCGAGGCTTCCCGAGGTCCTACGGCCCGGAAGGAGCAGAGCTGGCTCTCCCGCGCACCAGGCGATTCTGCCCCTGTGACCAGCAGGACTTGGGGAGCCTCAGACAGGACCAGGGGGTGTGAGTGCGTTCACAGTCAGCCACGGGGTCACAGCCTGATGCGGATGCCTTCCTTGGCCCGAGGAGAGAAGGCATGGGGGAGCAGACTAGAGGGGCAGGGGAGCCGGTGGCCAGGGGACAGTCACGGGGTAAAGGTCTCACGTGGAGACAAACAAGCTAAATTGCAAGAATCTCAGATAAAAGCTCCAGGGCTGGGAATCACAGGGGAGCCCAGAGAAGGGACAGCCTCATTCTGGAGATGGAGTAGTCACAGAGGGCTTCCTGAAGGAAGTGATGTTTTAGTTGCCTCCTAAAGGAAGTGTGGGAGCCAGCCTGGCAAAGGGTAGGAGTGCTTTCCAGGCAGCAGGAACAGCAGGTACAAAGTCCCTGTGGCAGAAATGAGCAGTGCATGCTCAGGGCAGGTTTCCTGGAAAGGAAATGGAATTAGGAGACGCTAGGAAGAAAAATGTGGCCAGATCATGGCGGACCTCAAGGGCAAAGGGGCGTGTTCAGATTCTATCACAAGTAGGTGGCCTGGAGGTGGGGATGAATTGAAGAACTGAAGTGGGCAGGGCCAGAGACAGGGGGCCCTGACCCATGGGTGCAGACGGGATCGTGTGGGACCCTCGCCCTCCTCGGGCTGCCCCGGGGACGGGTCATGAAGGGAAGTCGTGAAGACCCCATTTCACCCGGGAACAGGTGAGGCGAGGACAAAGCCGGGGTCGGAGGGCAAAGGCTGTGTGGGGGCGTCTCGCCGTCCCAGTGATGACGAGCGGACCCAGGGGCCCCGTGCTCCCTCCCCCACCGCACCCCAGGCCCGGGGCCTCCAGCTAATGAAAGTGTTACTCCACAGAGCAGCAAGGTATGTGTTGTCACTGTTTCAATTATTTATCTGTTTACTCGGTTGCAGTTTTCCGCTTGTCTCAGCAACTCTATTATAGACCGGGCGCTCGCGGCCTCGCGCGCCCAGCTGGGCTCCGCGCTAACGGCCTACAACCCGAGGCTCATGCCTGGGCCTGGAGAAGTGGAATTAACTCCCTGCGGCTCTGCGGGGAGGGCCGGGAGGGGCAGTGTCTCTGGGGTGCAGGGGAACTGCTGGAAGCGCTGTCTCCAGGCAGAGGCGGGACCGGAGCGCGGACCTGCCTGGCAGGACAAGCCAGGGCCCAGCTGGGTCCTCTGTGCACATCTGCACCAGGTGGGCGCGACTGCATCTGCTGGCCTAGGTGGCGCTGCTTCCGGCTTAGGGGACACGGACTGCGTGCCATCGGCCAGCATGTATTCAGCACCAGCCGTGTGCCAGGCACAGGCCACATCTGTATGGGTCACCCTCCACAGACTGCGAGTTCTGGAAAGAGTAAGGCGGCCCCTGTCAGTACCGGGGATGGTTAGAAACCAGATAAGGCCTTCACAAGCTCTGGGACCCTCGGAGGGATCAGCGGTGGGACTTCCCACTGCACAGTTTCTCCTTGGCCCCTCCCTAAGCCTACGCCCCTCATCTACCCTCGGGCCTGACTACGGGCATCTGTGTCCCTCGTTCCCCCTCTGGGCTTGGTGCTTTTTGATTGTGTGCACCTGTGCAGTAGGGCGCAGGCAGCACACGCCTCACCTGCCTCTTCTGAGCCCCAGGCCCGGCTTCTGAAACAAGATTGTGAGAGCAAACGAAAGAAGAGGGAAGAGGCAGAGAACCAGCTAGAAGCTGAGGAGGGGGCGGGCCGACTCCGCTCTCCTATCAATCTGTGACACCTGCCCCTAAACCCCTGGCTTGACTCGGCATCCCGAGTCATGACCCACAGAACGCCCTGAGCTGACTATGTCCGGCCTGGCTAGGGCTCCAGGGTGGGACGAGGCTGTGGGTGGCTCGACTGCCCTAGGGGTCAGAGTTTTCACCCCACCTCTCAATACCCCAGCACAGGTGGAGGCCAAGGCCATCCCGGGCTCCCTGCCACAGGCCCCTCCTCACTCACTGGCCTTGCCCGTCCCCTCCTCACTCACTGGCCTTTTAGGGCCGCCAAAGTACCTTTAAGCCAAGGCCGTCAACTGGGGGTCGATGTCACCTGCCCTCCCCATGGAGGACATTTGGCAAGTTCAGGAGACATCTCTGGATGTCACACCTGGCGGGAAGGGGAGGGGGATGGATACTGGCATCTAGCCCATAGAGGCCAGGGAAGCTGCTGACCATTTTACGATGTCCAGAGCTGTCCCCAGGGAATGACCTGGCCCCACGTGTCAACAGGTCCCAGGCTGAGAAGCCTTTCTTCAATCCCATCACATCGTGTGACCCCACAGTGTCCCTGGGGAGGATCAGAATAGGCGACAATTTTCCCATTTTGCAGATGAAGAAACTGAGGCTTGGAGAAGCAAAGGGATTCTGCTGGGGCCCCACGGGGGTTCTCAGCCAGTCTCTGGCTCCCTCCAGGTTAGGAAAAGGCTGTGGTGGGCTGAATGCCCCTTGGCATCCCCTTCCGCCCCCATCGGCTGTCTCCTTAGGAGGCTTGAGGAGTCTTCTCCCAAAGTCATCTAAGTGGAAGGTGTCCTGCCCGCTTTACGGGCAGCCTGTCTCTGGGCCCCGCCTCCCATCAGGTGCTGCCTTTTGATCTCCCCCTAAAATGCTGCAGCCCTTATCGTCCCAATCTCAAATTTCACTCCATTTTTTTTATTACACAAAAGAGAAAAAATCTGTCGGTAAAACTGTCTCTTCAAATTTATTCGCCGAGACGGAGGGTTTTATTACTAGGAAAATACACCCACACCCCACACGTCCACACACATCCCCACACACCCCAGATAAAGCGCCGAAGACTTATCTGAGTCGTAAATCGCTGCTTCGGGCTGGGGGACAGGGGAGTTTCAAGGACGAGCCTAGTTTGCCTTTGGTTTTATTTACATCTTTTGCTCTAGGGCTGCGTCTGGGGCCTCCCCGACTGCCCGAGGAATAAATAATGCTTTTGTGAACCTGACTCAGGCAGCCGGAGACACGGGTGGATCTCAGCTCCAGGATGAGGGGTCTGGAGGACAGGCCCCCACCCCAGGCCGCTCAGCCCCCATCCTGACCTCTCTCAGCCTCGGGGAAGGGACGGGAAAAGGGAGTCCAGGCCTCCCAGGTCCCGGGGGGGCGAGTAGCTATCTACAAGGAAGGTTTCTACCATGGCTGGTGGGTAGAGGCCCAGGCTGGGCAGGAGAGGGGTTAGCGTGGGTATGGTGGGTGTGCTGGCCGGCGCCTTCCCTTCGATTCTAGAAACATTCTGATGGAGTGTGAATGCTTGTCCCTTTCAAATGTCGTGCTGGAACGCATCCCCTAGCAAAGGAGGCAGGGCCTAGTGGGAGGTGTTTGGACTGTGGAGGGATTCCTCATGTGTGGCTTGGTGTCCTCCCGAGGTGGCTATTTTCAGGAGTTCACCGAGATCTGGCTGTTCAAAGGAGCCTGACACCCCCCTCTCTACCGTGTGACGCGCCCACTCCCCCTGTCTTCTGCCACCAGTTAAAGCTTCCCCAGGCCTCACCAGAGGCCCAGCAGATGCTGGTGCCAAGTGGAATCATGAGCCAAATAAACTTCTTTTCCATAAGTCACCCAGCCTCGGGTATTCCTTTGCAGCAGCACAGAATGAACGCATACATATTTTTCCAGGCCTGAGACATGCAGCACTGTTCCAGGCCCCATGGGAGAGAAGTAAAAAGGAATTCAGACACCATCACAGCTCATTGGTCTGGTGGGGGAGGTAGATGGCCCACAGTTGACTGAGAGGCCAGAGTCAGGAAGAGGATGGCTGCAGCGATAGGTATTTGCCAAGTGTTAGCCAACGATGCTCTGATGCTTGTGCAGGAGACAAGAAGTTTTTTGGAGTGAGGGAAGATCATGGAAGGCTTCCTAGAGGAGGTGAGCCCTTTTCAGGGAGTGCTACATCCCAGGCTGGCCCTTCCTGACTATGGGAGACTTTTGAGCATGAAGCAAGACCAATTTCCCCCATCCCAGTTGAATTCTTGACTTCTCTTGCTAACTTTGTGCTCTTGAAGAAGTCATTTCACCTCTCCTGTCTTAGTCTCCTCTTCTGTGACGTGGGAATAATGCAACAGACCGCCTTATGAGGATTAAATGAGATATGAGGCTTGTCAAGAGTACCTGGTGAGTGGGAAGCATTCAATAATGGTGGCTATTTTCATAAGTCCTGACCCTTTTCTGGGTCACCTCTTGTTCTGTGTTCCTTCCTACCCTCTAGGGCTGGGGCTGGAGAGCAGACAGCCTTTTTCTGAAAAGCCAGGGGATGTAGGACATCAGCAAACAAAAGAAGAGGGCCTGGACCCAGGAGGAAGGGAGCAGGGAGGTGCTGGGGCACCTCTCTCCTCTCAGAGGAGCTGGGAAGGGAGGCAGGCCTGGGAGCCTGCTAGGAGTCATCATAACAGTCTAAACAGACACAGGAATGCTCTGAGCAAGTCCTTGGAGGTGGGTGGGTCTCAGAGGCTGTGAGTGGCTCCCATGGTGCTGTGGTGACTAGGGACCTCCAGGGCAGCACAGACGGACAACCACAAAGCTGATGGGGCAGACAGTATGAGCTGGCCCTGAGGGCGTGTGGACCTCCCCTTCCTCGAAAGAAAGGTACTTCTGAAATAAGTTATTTTTATTATTATTTAAGTTTTTTTGAAGAGACGGGCTCTCACAACATTGCCCAGGCTGATTCTGAACTCTTGGCCTCAAGTGATCCTCTCACCTCGGCCTCCCAAAGAGCTGGGATGACAGGCA